CCAAATCTGAGCCAGCAGAACACAAGCTCTACCCACCACTTATGTAACTCATTCAATTGACCAAGTGCTGCAGCGTCATCAGCATACCAAACTTGAGATACTGTGTATTTGTGAAGGAGACGAATGAGAGGGAGAATACCAATAGCATACATCGCCATAGCTAGAGGATCACCTTGAGTTGTGCCCTCAGCAGAGAACATGATCTCACCATCGATGGAAAGAGGAACCTCAAGGCGGTAACAATTAATTAGAATAGTAGAGAGTGATGGACAGAGATTCTTAATATTGATCAGGGCCAGGTTACGGTTGAGCGAGTTGAATGCATTAGATGCATCAACAAACAAAACAGCTTCACACTCTACTGAATCAAAAATATTTCTGACAGCATGAACTGCTCCTTCACATCCTCCTACATTACTACATGTACATGTAGCATAATTTTTTAAGAATTATAAAAGACAATTATTATTTTTGCATGTAATTCAATATAATAATAATTATAGTATTGTTATTATTATTGTTTATTTGATACATGCTATATCAACATTGCAGTGAGTGATTGAGCCAATTTGTTAATAGTTGTTAATAATTATTGTTTTACACACTCACACAATTCCCTACATACATGTACACTTACAGAAAAGTAACCACATGTACATGTACACGTACATGTACATGAAAAAGCTCCATCAGGCAAATGACTAAAGGCTATAGCTTTCCATTATTTCATTTTTTGACACATACACATGCATACATGTACATGTACATGTACATGTACATGTACAATACATACATGCAAATTTTACAGAATGAATAGCTTGCAAACTGCATTATGTGGCAATTGAGATGCAGAATTTTGTGATTTTAATTTTTGCAATGGAGCAAAAAACACAAAAATTGTGAAATTATTTTACTACAAAAATAAATTGGTACATGTATACAGTATTTAGTTCACTTACTGTGAAACCTTGCATGTGAAAAAGGTGACCACTACATGTACATGCAGTACATGTACATGTACAACATATACATGTAGTACATTGTACATATTTGTACATGTAATTATACTTACTGTTCATGTAGTATTTATTGTTAATGTAATTTGTTACTTCTCTTAATGTTCCACTAGAATGCAGTATCAGTATTCATTAGATTGGGATTTGCTTATAAGAAAAAACAAGATAATTTTGATTATGATAAGTCATGGACTGAAGTAGGCGGGGCTGATGTGGGCGTGACCAAAAGTGTTCCTGTTGCCAATATTATTACTATCAATGATGAACCAACAAAAATGGAATTAAATTATAAAAGTTTTGACTTATTGATGGAAGATCTGTTATTGGATACTAAAGAGACTGAATCACCTATTAGTGTGATTGGACGATTTGGACCAGGTGAGTATTGATAGGTATACAGGTCAATTGAGTAAAAATGGAAGATTTACAAGTGTTTTATAAGTGTTGTGTGCTCACAATACTTACAGTGTACTGCTGGGGTGATGAAATTTTTCATGTTAATAAGTCAATCAATGGGGGGGGAAGTGCCCCCTCTGCCCCCCCCTAAATGAAGCCCTGAACACTTGTAATAATTGCATTTACATGTACAACTATACACATTTTTTAGCCAAATACGCATAATAGTGTACATGTACATGAACTTGTATGTGTTATTTTGATGTATCCAAGTGTAAACTGATTTTGTCGGGATTAAATTTCCTTCAATATTAGACCAAAGTCCATCAATGACATGTACCGTATTAGCTTGATTAAACGCCCGGGCGTTTATTTCTTAACAGGAAAAAAATCAGGTAAAAAAAACAAAAAAGCCTCTAGGGGATTCGAACCCCCGATCTTCAAGCTTTCCGAACTGTACTCCAACAGTTACGCTATCTGGCACAATCTACATGTAAATCCTGTGGCACATATACTGGGTAAAATTATGCGTATCTATAGTTAGAAAATATTTAGCATGTTTGTTTGTTTGAGCAGGGTGTTTATTCGAGCAAATACGGTACATATGTACACGTACATGTATGCGTATACATGTAGTAACTAGTAAACATGTATTTTGCTAAGTGAGAGTTCTTTCATTTTTTCAATGCACTGTACATTTAGTATAATGTGTAACGTACTAGTTTTATTCATGCCATTATTATTTTTCATTTTAAATTATTGGGTGAATTAAGCCATTACTAATGAAAATTTCTGTATGTAGAGTATTTATCTATTTCTTTATGCTGTGTTTTTGGGGCATGAGAGCCCCTCAATATTTTATGATTCTTTCTAGTTACTTTTATTGTTGTTGTGTACATGTAGGTCTTGATTCTGTTCCTTTTCAAAAAAGGATTGGTTTCTTGTTTGATTCAACTTTAACTGCTTTTCTAATGATGGGAAACTTATCACCTGTGAGTATTATTAACAGTATACTGTCACAATTTTCAGTACATTATTGGACTCACCACGCTTGCGTAGGCTGGTACTAAGCAGTTGCGTTGTCATTCTGTCATTTTGTCCACACAGTTGAACTGATTTGTAAAAAAATTATCTTTTTGTCTGAGCAGTCTAGAGTATATTTTTCCTTTAGCAACAGATAAAGTATGTAGTTATGCTCTTGTAGCATCCTGTAGTACCAAAAGCTGTGAACTGCTAAACCAGGGGGCCTTTCTCTAAGTGAGAGCTCGTGTTTCACTCTACAGGGCTGAAATTTGCTTCAGACATAGAAAATTTCATCTAACAAAAAACTAAAGGAATGATTTTGTCCCAACTTTGTTGTTTGTTAGTTACAGTTGCTCAAAGGTTGTGATTTAGCCTCTTTGAACATTTTTCAGACGGCACTAGGGAAAGCAAAAGCAACCAAACTCTCTCAGTCTCTTTTAAATATTTAAGAAAATTTTTTGTGCTAACTCTTTCTTTGAATAGAGCTTCAGATGCTAAAATAAATTTCAGCTTTCTTCTTTCTCCTACCCATATGCCATGATTTAGCTATCTAGTTGTTGACCACACCCATAGCTTATTTTAATAATCATTATAACTAGCAGTCAATAATAATAATTTTTTAACGACCTGGGGGCGTAGCCCCCAGGTCGTTCCTATAGTTGATTTCACCCATGTGCGATGTTTGTATATTTGTATGTCCACACTTACATTTCTTCTATACATGTTGTATTGGAGAAATAACAAAATTCTTAAGCCTTAGCAACCACCTGCCCACACTCCTTTACGTAGTGGGTGTGGTCACAGCAAACAAAATGGCAGCTTAAACTCGGGACAAAGTTAAGAGCTTTCTAACAGCAAGACAACATAGAGATACTGTCTAAAGACTTCTCTAGAAGCATTAGAAGGTAGAGAGAGCCTCTATACATGTAAGTCTTAATAAAATCCAGTTATTCTTGCAAGGTGGTGAAATCAATTATAGGAATAACCATAGTGCTTCATTAGTATATTATTAGTACTATGATGTATTAGTGCTGCAACAATAAATTTATCTTGTAATTATTGTAGTTATGTTTTAGATACTGAATTATCAATTTTTGGTTATGAACATGTACAAAAATGGACGTACCACATACTCAAGAATTAATAATGGCATTTGTTGTACAATATCATACCTAACCTTTAAATGACTACATGGTACATGTACATGTACATGCTACAAGATTATGATGATAAACTAATGTGTAACCTGTTCCTTGTACTGTGAAGTGTGAACAAGTGCCTTATGAAAACAACATGACTAATATTTTTCCCACCATAAGCCTTTTTTTAAGAGCAATAACCCAATGTACATGTACATTCAGTGTTTCATAGAGAGATGGGGGGCACTGGGATTTCCCTCCATTAGGTTCCTCATTGATATATCATTTACAATTGAATTCTCTGATTTTTTTTTCTTTAAAACATTTAAAATTTCTTATGCTCAATGAAGCAATTAAAATAATTACAAATATACACTGTACATGTATGCAGAAGCCAGCACAGTTCAGAGTTCCCCCCACAAAGAATTTCTGTTTGAAAGCCTGCATGTTCACGTACACATGTATATACATGTATGTTATGATGCAATATGCAATATATTTTTTCTATTTATTTTTGCAGCACTAATTATGAGTATTTTATCATTATATAATTCCAGTATATTATTATTGTATTGTACGTTATTTTAGGGATTGAAAAGTCATGCTGTTACCATGTTTGAAGTTGGTAAACTGACCAATGAAAGTTTAGACGATTTTTTGAGTGAATTGAATAAAGTTGGTACTGATCCTGACGGGGGCGGGGCTGGAGAGGGTGAGGCACAGAGATACTTCCAACATGCAGTCACTTTAAGAAATACAGTTCACTTTATCAGGCACAATAAGGAACTAATGAAAGGTAAATGTACTAGAAGAATGTAAAACATCAAAGGGGCAGGCCTAAGCAAGCTATAGGTTACATGTCTGAGCTAGCAAAGTAATTATACATGTCTAAATTCAGTATCTTGTTGCAGTCACCTTGCTGTTTTTATAGGTATCAGTTCATTACTTAGGAATCTCTGCAGCAATTAGTGTTACATACATGTGTCTTGCTTGTAGTTAGAAGCAGCCACTAAACAAATCATATTTGAAGATTGGATATCTGCTTTGTTTGCATCTAACTTAGCAGAGCTCTGTATATCAAGAAAGAAGATTGTACATGTATATCTGTTTTACCAACCTTTATACTCGCTAGAGAAGATTTTAGACAGTAATTTAGAGTCTTATCTTGCTGACCGTTTGTTGCAAGTAAGCTCAGAGTTGCTAACGGCCGCCATTTTATTTCAGTGTGACCACACCCGCTTTAAATGAAAGTTATGCTGTTTAACATTAATAATACATGTAGTTAGACGACCCATGCCCGTACATACAGACAGACGCTTTCTCATCTTAGTAGAGCTCGCTCAGGCTCACCCCAATTAGAGATGTGTCTCATCAATAGTTTCCAGAACTTTTGAGAAAGCATACAGTATCATGTACATGTATCTACTACATGTACATGTACATACTGTACATGTACCTCATACATTTGTATTATAATTATCATTGGTCAACATGCACATATATAACAAGTGAATGCTACTGAATAGCTTTCATCAATTGTGGCACATACGTGTACACGTATGCGTATGACAGTGTTGCATGGCAAGAGGGCTAAGACCATCTTTAACTTATTATGAAAGTACCAACCCTCAAGGGAGAATACTGTACCGTTGGTAATTTTTGTGGGGTATTAATTTTTATTAATTTCATGGTTCATTTGTATCCACCCCTACCACTCACACTTGAGAACCTAATTAGCTGGCCATTCCGAACTCTAACTACTGTTTTCAAGCCAGTGGAGGAGCCAGAGTTTTTGCCTATTGCTCCATATTCCACTATAAGCCATGTATTGGAAGCTAGTGCTGTAGATCCAAGTGAAAAGAAGCTTGCTACCTTCCAGCCATGAATATACATGTACCCACAAATATTAGCTTCTAAGTATAGGTTATTAACCGAGGTAGAGGTTTCTATTGGATTTATTAACCGAGCGGTGAAGTTGCAAGGTTAATAAATACGATAGAAACCAAGACCGAGGTTAATAACTGACTTCTATCATGCATTACTATAACAACCACTGACCAATCGGAATGTATAACAGGAGAGTATAAAAGCCTTCTCCCATGGTTACCAAATTCATAATTTGCGACTCACTTCAAATAAAAAGAAGGCAAAAAGTTGCTCCTTGTGTTGCAGCCATTTTTAAAAAGTCACTCCTAAAATAATTAAGGACACACCCATCAGAAGTAATGGATAAAGGGGCGCCACCCTTTGATGGAGCTACAAAGCGTTTTGCTAAGCCGAAATCAGAAGAAGAGCTTGAAATCATTCAAAAGAATTCAGAGCCGCTAACTACTGCAAGGACCAACAAATGGGCAGTTGCTGTATGGAACAAATGGTCTAAATGCAGGCTAGATGATCACAAAGAGGCTCCGATTGGTCCGCCATATTTGCTACCTTCAAAGGATGATCTTTACCACTGGATGACTTGCTTCATCGTTGAAATCAGATGCAAGGATGGTAAGGAGTACTCTCCCAATACTTTGTATGCAATTGCATGTGCTGTAATGAAGCACATTAGAAACTACTGTCCCGAACTGAATTTTTTTACACAACCAGAGTTTCATGGATTTAAAACAACTCTAGATTCCGAGATGAAGAGGTTCAAAGCAGATGGAGTTGGACTAGAAAAAAGGAGAGCAGACCCAATATCTGTCAATGATGAGGAGCAACTATGATGAGCAGCTAATAATGAAGGTGACTGGACATCAAAGTCTCGAAGGAGCTCGAACATATAACTGAACATCGGAGACTCAGAATAAAGAAATTTTGTCAATTCTAAATGTAGGTCAAACATCTAAAAAGCTGAAAATATCAATACCAGTTGAAATGGATTCTCCATACAATTTCAATTTCAATAGCTGTACAAATGTGAAAATAACAGTACAAAAATGAAGAATACATACATTATAAAACTTGTTGTAGCTAAATTAATAGTCTATATTTAATCATGGTATTATTTAATTTTGATTTATTTTATTTAATAAACCAAGAGGTTTCTAAGTGTTCCCGGGAGGTATTTAATAGATTTAGGAACCTGGTATTCTGCAATCTGATTGGTCAGTTTAATAATGGTATGATGGAAGGAAATTTTTGAGAAAATGAGAAATATTATACCCTTAAAAATTACCAACCTTTGCTACATATCAATAAAGAGTTAATATACAATAACTATTACTATTAAATTATTTGCTGTAGATGCTCTTGGTATTGATCTGTTGCATTGTGAGAGTATGACAAAACTTGATACTGGAACACTCAATAGATTATTGGAAAAAAATTACTAGTAAGATTTACATGTACATGTGTATTACAATTAATATTGTTATTATTATTATTATTTGTAGTGCATTGGTGTCAATGGCTCCACTCAGTCAAGAAGTCCATTCAATCAGTTGTTGTGTCCCATCTCACATTGGTAATCATTAAATCAATGAATGTACATGTACATTCATTCATTATTCATAATTTCATATAAAGGACTTGTACTGTACTCTAATAGATGTACACATTACACATGTACATGTACGTGTCCTTACAATATACAGTACATGTATTGTACATGTTGTACATGTAGGTGCAATGTATCTAGAGAGAGTTTCACCTCACTTAAAAATTTTATGTTTTTAATTTAATGTGTGCACTCATAGGTCCTGCTATACCTGAAATGAATTCCATTTGGTTTAAATTATGGTTATATGATAAACTAAAATGTGGACCGCCATCTCTCCTATTGACAAGAGGAACAAGACTGAGGACACTGCCTAAACCATTTAAGGTACACATGTACATCTACATGTATATTTAGTTTACTAGTGTAACTGGTTTTATCAATCTGCTTAATAAATTTGTAGAATTATCGTAAATTGTTATTAACCTCATGGGGTCATGACAATGCTGTTGTTAATACATCAAATGTTCTTCTGACCATCAATGAAGCACTCACTCACTCACCTATTTTATTGCAAGTATGTTCATTATTATTTCTGTTGCTGAATTCACTATCATTTTTTTATTTTTATTATTAGGTGTATACTTGGAGAAATGCAAGTGAAGTGAAGTATATTCCGTTTCCTTTCAATAGACAAGATTCAGTTAGTACAGGTATTGACAATAATGATGCATGTATAAAAAATGGCAGTTAATTTTAAGAGAATATTTAATGAATTTTATAAATTTTAAATACACAGAAATGCTATAATAGTTGGTTAAGCTTTTAAAAAATTTTAATAGACGATCTGATTCATCACAAGTCACTGATACTACTTGAACAATGTGTTGACTTGAAGCACGGTTGTGGATATGTGACATTATTAAATACTGGAGCACCTGTCAATAATAGTCATAGTAGGAATTACAATAAAGGTATGTATTGAGAAGAGCAGTGAGTGTGTGTCTGACATACTGGCTGATGTATAACTGTAATGCACTGTACATTGTATTTTGCTATTGCTAATGATGATGATCATAACAAAAGTAAGAATGCTTCATTTATTGCGATGCATACATTTTTGGTTGTACAAGTCCTTACATTGTACATGTATGTCATGAAGTGATTCTGATCAAAGTAGGATTTCTTTATCAATCTTTTAGCTGTTAAAAATTAGACCTATGACCTTTATGTACATGTACATCTACATGTACATGTATGTACATGTATATAGACTTTAATTGGTCTTTGGCTAAATTTTATCAAAGTTGCTAAGAAAGAATTTTCCATTTATACACATGTACATGTATTGTTCCTGATACATGTACATATCCTTATTCTATGTGTCAACTTTGAGCCTACCGTATAGCAGGTAATTTTGGAGGGGCTAAAATTTTGCCAATTGCTAAATTTTGGTGATTGGCTGGATTTTAATTTGGCGAATTTGTGGCCACTTGCCCTTGAGCATGTGTATAATGGCTCAAAATGACTGAGTTTTATTTTGGCGAATGGCTATTAAAATGCCAGATTTGCCAAATTTAATCCCCTCCAAAATTTCCTGCTATACGCAGGACTTCATTTAGGGGGGAGGGGGGCGTTTGCCCTCCCTTGGGGGACACTTGCCCCCCTTGATTGACTTATTAACATGAAAAATTTTATCACCATATCAGTAAATTGTATAGCATGCATTGTGCATGCACAACAGAAAATATTAGTGACCCCCAGCCCTTTTCTAAAATATTTTTAACCCTGCCCCCTTGTATAAAATCCTAGATGATGGCCTGATATGCTACACGTATCTCAATTAAAATTGGATAATTTAAAATGCTACACAACTACTATGTTAGAGTTCTTGATAGCTCATTAAAAAAGAATATACTACATAATACATGCACATCTTTATAGTATACTACATGGGCAATTGGGCATACCAAAGGCACCTTTAGTACATTATATTGCATAACATCACCTTTATCACTAGGTATACTGTTATGATAGTTACCCACAGTGGATGTGACTTTAAACCATGATAAAAATCAATTTTTAGACAGTACATTTAATTAAAATCTAGCCGCTTTCTGTAGTAAAGTAGACCAAATTTTAAATGTTCTCTTCTCACTTTCTTCTCAAAATGAAAGCACATGGTCATGTGGTTTAGGGTAGTTCCTTTGGTACGCCCTCTAGTGACCATAAGTCATTTAAAGCACAGGAAGCACGTGCTGTGCAGGATTTAATAGCATTTGGGATGGGGTCTCGATTGCAATGTAGCACTCGGCACTTCGTGCCTTGTGCTGTATTGCAATTTTGACCTCACCCCTCATGCTGTTACATGTATATGCTTCCTGTGCTTTATATGATTTATGGTTACTAGGGGGCATACCAAAGAACATTAGAAAGTACATTATGTGTCTGACTAGCTCACTTAAAAGCAAGCACACATTTTATCATATCATTATTTTCATACATGTAGTTATGAAAGAGGCCGAAAGAAAGATTGAGATAACAGAGTTCTTAGAAGACTTGAAAGAAATAGGCATTGGTACTGAAGCAGCTTCAAATGTCAGTCCACCAGTCATGGATCCAGTAACAGTAACAGAGTCTGATCAAATGATACAGCAAGACTCTGATAATGATAGGCAGTGGGTTCCATTGGAGCTCTGTTTTGGAATACCGTTGTTTGATCCTGTCACTAATGAATCTGTTTGTAATAAAGTTAGTGATTAATATAAAAGAAAATCATGCAATATAAAATCTGCCATGCTCAATGACGCATGGCACAAAAATTAACTATTTTTCCCCTTCACAATTGCATCAAGTTACTCCTGCCAACAAATGACATTGTACATTTTAAAATTAATAATAATTATTTGTGGTAATTATCATTATTATTTTTTTAGATTGTTTCTAACAGACTTTTTGCTGAAGATAGTTTGAAACAGTTAACCCAATCAAACAGAATATTGGCACTCGATTTGATGGATTTTATTACAAAACATCAAGTACGTGTAATACACATGTACATGTACATTGTACAATGTGCATTCAGTGCATGAAGGATTGTTATGCATGTATACAATTGTAATAATTATTATTGTTGTTTTATTAGGACAGTAATTGTTATGGACACTCAGCTACTAACAATTTGTCATCGTCTCTTTCTATTCCTTTGCCAACGAAAAACTTACTTTTCAATGACAATGTATTAACTACTTTTAATAATTAAATTTAGCTATAACTACTAAGTACTTTTGCTGCTTATAATAATAATTTTAATTAATTTTTTAAAACTTTAATCTGACTCATCCCCTACCAGCCCACCATCAAGTTTCATTTTGCTAATGAGTTCTTGAAAAGGAATTTTTGCAGCCAGAGGGTGAGTCTTAGTTTGGCCTTACTGTCATTGTACAGTCAAACCTGCCTATTCCGGACACTTTTGGACCCAACAATACTGGAAACTATCTGTATTTCAGAGATTCATTAATTAATATATGTTGATTATTGTATTGAGACTGATTGTTTCATAAAGAGGTGTTCTTTAGAGGGTCTACAATAGCCAGACTGACTGTAGACTATATTCTAGTATCCTTGTGTGGGTATGGACTCTAATAATGATCCAGTCTCCTATGATTATATCTTCTGCTCCCACTTGAAGCTCATGCACTGCATACATGTACATTCTGTACACTCGCAGGCTACCAAGAAAAGTTTTTTATTGCTTTGTCAAATCTATTTTCAATGCTTTATAGCTAAAAGTGTAGTACAATTATTATTATGGTTATTATTGTTATTATTGTTGTGTAGCTCCGTTTGAATCCAGAGCCAGAAGAACGATCATCATTCAGTACAGTTAATCTTGGTCTTGTCACATCATTATCATTATTAACCTCTTTATAATTACCATAACATATCATGTATTTTCTGACTCCACCATTCTTTATCATAAATCCATCATATTTCAAGACATATTCTGTATTCTTGAACTCAAGGACTGTGTTAATGCTAGTGTAGAATGCCTATGGTAATGAGTAATAACAATAAATCTAAAGATCATCCTGGAATTAAAAAAAAAATAAGATTTAGATGTAACTTGAGATTGACGGAAATTTGGAGCTACAAAATGTATGCAGTATACATTACTTTAATATCAATGGCAGTCATTGGTTGTATGTTGATATCAATTCCTTCATTCATCTGTACATTTACAGCTAATTGTGTCATACTTTCACTCATTGAACCGTCAAAATTCCTACGCTGATATAACCCATAAAAATACAGTCCTAAAAATGTAAATAAGTAACAATGATCATAAAATTAAGTATGTAGCAACAACATAATAAAGATTACCTTGGTTTGATGAGACAGTGTTCTTCATTGCATTATAAATATACACTTTGCTAGTGTCAGCATTAATGTTATCTTTATTGAATACTATTAAGTGATGTTGTGGCAGGTCGTGATTTCTGTTGTTTCTTCTGATGATCATTAACACTTCTTTATTAGCTGATAGGTCAGACTCCATAAAGCCATAATCAGTATATTCATTCTTAACAACTGCATTTGAAGTACAAAATAATAATCAAGTTGTACACCCACTATCATATTCTTCACTAATCACATTATGACTGAAGTGCAGAATTTAAAGCCCACCATGCATACATTAGGCAATTTTATTGCAATCTGGGGTTACTTTGGTGTTCAGTGTAAATGTCTTGCCTACATTAGAACACCTCAATTTTCATATTCTAGGCAATAGTGAAGATCAACTGATTGCCTGTAAAAGCAATGCTTGGTGCATGTATAAAGGCCTAAGCTTAAGCTTAAGCTATTTATTGTTTGCTTACAGGATTCAGTAAGCATTAAAGGTAGTTAGACATAAAAATACACTATGTATATGTATAATTATTTATCATCAGTTGTAATGATTACAGATGCCACTGTTAGCGCAATACAATGAGAACAATCAAGTTGTGCTTACCATCAGTTGGTATTTTTCTGAATTGAATTATGAAGTCAGAGTACTCTTGAAAGGTGATACTGGCATGTCTAAGTTGTCCATAATTCAACCTGCTCACTCTCTCTTCTTCAAACAATACAAAAGCACTCACATTCGTGACTGGGAACACATTGAATACATAAGTTGGTAATTGAAAATATCCAACGGATAATGAGTTATCGGTCCCACCAGTACCACTCAGTGATTGAGCACTGCTTCCTACGAAGAGACGTGTCAGTAAGAGCAAGGATGATACCCGCAAGAAGATGGACATGCTGAGCAACGTGTGAGCGATTGTTATGTTGCTTAGCAACGACTATGTGGGAAGGCGGAGCTCATTAATTTGCATTGCAAAAAGCCAGCAATAAAGCAGAGCGCAAGCAAAGCTCTGTCTTCAGTGAATAGCTACTAGCATAAACATTAAGAGAGGGTTGCAGCTACAATTTTGGGAGCTCTGTCAACAAAATGAAGCTACTAGTGATTACAGGTAGATCTAGATATAGTGCAGTAGACTATAAATTTTACTTAGCTGTGTAGGGCAAGCCCTCATCATTGGTTTGTTTGTACTATGGGTGAGAGCTGCAGTTCATAATACATGGGTTAACGTGTATTCTGGGTCACTGCCACTGACCGGCTACCCTGATACGTATTTATGTGGACCAAACACAACATTGAGATGTATTTATATAAATGACAAGACAATTGGCGTTAAAATTCAATGGGTTCTGTACACTGATGACGGTAGAAATGAGAAAGTTTTAAAATATCGATTAATAAATGATGATGGATTGACAGTGTTCATGGATTACTTGATAACAACCAGTGGAAATTATTCTTGTGGATATGATAATATCCGTTACAAAACTGTTAATATATCCATCAGTGTGTCAAGTAAGATCTAATCAGTTATTTTCTTTCATCATAAATTATAGGTGAGCATTGGAGTGGCTGCCAGACCACAGATATTAGAGACTACGGCCAGACTAATGACAAGCACTAAAGCATTTTTGTGAACATTAGATCTAATTAAATTTTTTGCTGCTAAAAGTCTAAAAATTCATTGTTCACTAGTTATTAGTGATGGGCGATATGGCCAATTTTCTTAATTTTCGATAATGATCGATAATGGACTTTTTGAGGAAATATCGATTATTAACGATACGATAACCACACCTTCATTTAGGGGTGTGTCAAGGGTGTGGCTAATAATTTTGGCACTGTACTGGACATGAGAGATCATTTCCATGCTCTTGAGCCTTGTTCTCTTCTTATTGGGGTAGGCTGAGCTAACAACTGGTCAGTTGCCTCTTTCTTGCAGTTCAACAGTGCAATTACTTATTAAAATTAGTTATTTAACCTTAATAAATAGGCGTGGTCAATAGATGATGAAAATTGCATCATAGATATTAAATGACAGGGATTGGAAACGGAAGCGTGGGCGTAGCCTAACCTCCATTCATTTGTATTGTTGCTAGGCTGACAGAGGCTCGTTGAAATTTTTTGTCACAATTTACCCTTGATTTTTTTTCTCTTAGAAACAATATCTCGCGAACAAGTGTTCCTGTGCAAGTGGAATTAATGCATCAAGAAGCCTAATATTTCCTCTTAATAATTCTGGTTTCTATTGTATAGATAATTTTACTATGTTCATGTTATGGCTCTTTTAAAACCATAAAATGTATTTTTTGTCATTATAATCCCTTTTTTGAAAACAAGCTAGAGTAAGATACAAGATCTTTATAATCATATGAAAGAGCTTTCATTTGCATATCGAATGATACTAGTTAGAGTTAGAATCCAAGAAGCATGAGTTTGTTACAACAGAAAAAGGGCGAAAAATGAAAAAATTTTGTTGTAGCTATAACTCGTTGCAAAATAGCGTTGTAGAAGTAAAAACCTTGCTGCAGGTAGTCCTAAACTTTCTATATGGAACGGTAGGTATATCATAAGTAAGCGTCCTCTTGGATTTCCATAAATATCCTTCGAAGTCCTTGCAGCACAGCCTCACTAATGGAGGAGATGGGAAATCAACCAGGTATTGGCCCGGTAACCAATAGCAACATCAACTAGCCTACGCCCCCGTTTCCAATCCCTTTCATTTACTCTATTATATAGGCGGTAGCCTATATGTAGGATTGAGGTTGATTTTTCAAGATGGCGGCCGTTTTTATGATTTTCAAACACTCACAACTCTTTTATCTTACGTTGTACAGCCTTATAAATGGCTTAGATGAGCTCTCCTTCACTGAGCGATTCTCTTGGTACCTTTAGAGTGGACTGTAATGCAGCGGGAGCATTTCTGGAGAATAGGCCCAAATTCAAATTTCTGCAAAATTCTTCAGACTTTTTCTTCTTCTTCTTCTTTCATCTTTCTTCTATCAACACGGAAATCTTTTAAACCAGAGAGCCGTTCAAGTTGGCTTTTACATCAATCCTTTGAGCTTGAGTCAAGGACTGGACATGTGGCTTCAAAAAGAAGCAAGGACAGAGAACAATGGAAGACAAATTCCAGCTGCAGCACCGCGTGGGTTTGTGGTTTGACGCCATTTTAATTTATGCGCACGTGATTAGCATGAATATGATTAACCTAACCACATAATCATAACAGAAAGTAATTTTATAATTTAAGAAAAAAGAATGGAAACAAGTAAATAAAAAACATTAAAAATGGAAAAGTAGTAGGATTAAATTGTAAAAAAGTAAAGAAACAAGAGGGTACT